AACTATTTTTTTTTTCTTTCTTTTTTTTTTTTTTTTTTTTTTTTTTCCCATCTTCATCCTATAAAACGTCTTTAGAGACCTTGTAGAAATACGGATTCTCCGATTTCCGATTTCCGATCTCAAACTTCAGATCTCCGATCTCAAACTTCAAAAAATATACGTAGGTTGAGTTTGAATCGAACCCAGTGAAGCTGTACATACATAAGGTACACAAGCTCCATCAATGCCTGCCTGCCTGCCTGACTGACTACCTGACAACCCATCATCTATCTACCTATCTATCTACCTACCTACCACATCAACTAACTAACTATATACCTACCATCTCTATCCATTGATCAAATTCATGTCCTCCTTAGCTAGGTACCTAGGTACTTATGGTGGTATGCAGGTGATGGATGTTCTTTTTGCCGGCTATTATTGGTTTTTTGGTTTCTATTTTGGGTGGGGAGGGGGGAGGAGGGGATGGTTGGGGAGTGAAAGGGGGAAGTGCAAAGGAGGAGTGAAAAGGAGGAGTGAAAAGGAGGAAGGAGGAAAGGAATAGATGATAGATGAGTTTGGGAAGAGAGAGTGCTTCTATACATATGTATATACATACATACATACATGTCAATAAGTAAACAAGTAAATAAATAAAGCCGCCGCAGGTGATACATAGAATGAGTGAGTATGCACTGCTTGCTTGCTTGCTTGCTGGAAACAAACAGGGTATCGTCACGTCCGTCACCTTGATTAAGTGTCATTTTCATTCCACCATCCTGATCCAAATGCGCGTGCGCGTAGAATATGGTGCTGGTGGTATCTATCTGTACAAGACGTTAAAAATATTATTTCATCTATCTAGCTAGTCAAGCCATTCATCGCTCTCGTGTAAGTAGCATGCATGCATGCCTGCCTCCTACTTCCCACCCGTCTTGACCAACTCCAGCTTGACCTTCCTCTTCCCAGTGCTCTCCTCCTTCACATCGCTGATCCGCACAACGACCTTCGCAAAGAGCTCAACCTCAACCTCCCGACTCCCGCTCGTCTTCAGCACATACTCCTCGGCATCAAACGTGCTCTCGGGCTCCGTATCCGCCAGATCCCTCAGGCGGATCAGGCTCTCGATACCGAACCGCGGAACGAACACCACGAAACCGTTGGAGAAGACCTTCATCACGAAGCCTTCCTCTTCCACGATGCGGCCCTTGAGGGCCTGACCGACGTAGTACTCGATGGAGGCACGGCCAGCTTGTTGCGCGTTGCGGTGGCGGACGTTGATATTCTTGCAGACGGCTTCAAGCTTGCCTTTGCTACGGACGCTTGCGTCGAGGGGCTCGTAATCGATGGCTGCTGCGAGTTGTCTGTGGGCGACGAGATCGGCATATCGACGGATGGGAGACGTGAAATGCGTGTAGATCTCGGAAGCGAGGCCGTAATGCGTGAACTCGGGGTATGCCTGTGTACCGGAGCAAAAGTATTCGGCCGACATCATGCAGCGGGTTGCCATGATACGGACGAGGGTGTTGAAGAAGGGCTCGTTTGGGTCCACGCACCCATCCAAAGAGTCCGCAAGCTCCTTTGAAGAGGAAGTGCGCAATTCTAAACCACGCTTCACCTTGAGCTGGTTGCCCAGTTCTTCAAAGTTGGTCTTTGGAGGAGCACCGTGACGGCGGAGCATGGCGGTTTGGGGGAAGGCGGAATAGATCTTGGCAGCTACGCTGGTGTTGGCAAGTAACATGAACTCTTCGACCAGGGACATGGTGTCAAGGTGCTTCTTGGTCTTGATGTCGATGGGATCTGACGTCTCGGATTCGGTTTCGACTCTGACTTCCGGGGAGGAAAGACTGAGAGCACCTGCATCCATACGCTTTTGCTTGAACTTCTTGGAGAGCATGAGGAGGGTTCGAATATTTGTTGTAAGCTCATCATTATTCGCAGGGTTGTCGATCCGGAGCTGAGCTTCCTCGTAACTGAATGCTTCTCGTGACTTGATAACTGACTTTGTAAAATCAGATTTGACTATCTCCGCATCAGGGGTGATTTCCCAGATAGCCGAGAAAGCATAGCGTTCCACATATGGCTTTAGAGAGCAGAGATCTGTTCCAAGTAACATGGGCAACATATCAATACGCTTGTCGACCAAGTAGACCGTAGTTCCTCGAATGCTGGCTTCTGCGTCCATGGCATTGTTGGGCTTGACGAAATGAGAGACATCTGCAATATGTACTCCAACCTCGAAGTTGCCGTTCGGCAATGGCCTAGCATGCAGCGCATCATCGATATCTTGACATCCGATGGGATCGATACTGCATATCTGTAAGCCTCTAAGATCTCGTCGGTCCTTCCAGCCGGGATCGTCGGTACTGGGCGGTACAATCCAGTCATGGCCTTCCTTCGGTAGACAGTCCAAGACGGTCTTCGGAAAAGGTCGATATTGAACGTCGTATTCCAGCAACAGAGCCTCAGTCTCTGCTCCTTTAGTCTCCAACTCTCCCAGTGACCGAACAAAATGACCAATAGGATATCTCGAGTCTCGGTCCCAGGAGTCGATTGTGACCAAAACACGCTTGCCGACGATCTCACCGGCTTGTCTGGTCCTGACCCGGATCTTGGGTATCCTCTTGTCCATAGGAATCAAGAATACAGTCTGCTGTTTCCGGCTCTGCTTGATCGACTGACTGACCGAAGACTCGTCCACGTGCCCAACATATTGTCTCCAGTTCCTCTTAACCACCCCAACCACCTTTGCTGTAGGCTGTGCTCGTCCTTCAGAGGTCTTGCTGTGCGTTTTCTTCACCTCCTCCTGCAATGCCCTCCGCTCCCTTTCCGAAATCACACCATTCCCCCCCTCCCCATCAGCGTTATCATCCTTGCCAATCGTCTCCTCTTCAATGATCTTCGTCGAGGGCTCCTTCCACTGATCCTTCGGTAAAACCTCCACAACCACCACATCACCCTGAACAGCACGATTGATATTCTCCCTCCCTAGCACCAGAAGGGATTTATCGAACGCCGGGACGTGTATCGAGCCCTCCAGATAGTTGTACGGCGAGACATTGAAGATACCCTGATGCAGGGTCCCTTTCTTTACTCCCGTCAACATCTTCGACACCGAGAAGTACTCGTCATAAATACTCTCCGTCTTCTTCGCATCTCTGATCTCCCGACCCTCCTTGACCACAGAAATCATATCCAGCAAGTGATCCGCATTCTCCAATCCCTCCACGTACGCACTCAGCGAGCAAGCCAGCACCCCATCCTTCTTCGCCTTCTTCAGATTCTCCTTGTCGTCGCTCAGCATCACCACCGCAGGGACTCTCTTGCTGCTGCCCCCCGCCGCCTTCACAGCCTGCGCCAGGTGCTCCGCGTACCACTTGACCGCCCTCCTCACGGCGCGGTCATTCCGGTCGTTGATACTCTCCCCCACATTGCGGACGACGTATGTCTCGAGCCGGAAATCGTTGAAGAACACGTAGAAGCGCTTCTCTTCGCTCTTCGTGAGCCCGATCAGGCGGTTGTAGAGCGGCAGGGACCGGTTCCGCAGTTCTTCGAGGACGGTCTGCAGGATAATGACGTCGTAGAAGGCGGATTTCTGCTCGAAGAGGTCGAGGGCGTTGAGCAGGGCGTTGGTGTCGGGCACGAGGTAGTGGCCCTGCTTGTAGACAGTTGTGCCGGCTGGCTTCTCGGAGAGCACAAAGGGCGTTACTGTACCGTTCGCATTAGCACTGGGGCACGCCTTTACTTAAGAATTTCGACGATAGCTTACGATTTCCGCCAGCATCTCTAGGTGCCGTCTCCAAGCAGCTCGTACAGAGCTTCGACGAGCATGGGATATCTTGCCGCAGGTACAGCTCGCGCACGATCTTCTGGACCTTCCCGCTCTTCGTACTGCGCACGTAGACCTTGCTCGATATATTGGAGGCGTACGGGTCCGCGGCGAGCGATCTCTTGAGGCTCGTCATTTTGCTGGTGGTCTTGAGGTGTGGTTTGTGGTGGGGTTGCTCGTGGTTGACCGTGAAGAGAAATTTAGACGCGAGATCTTTGAGCTTCAACGCGGCTGAGCTTTTTTTTATGATGCGCATCAGCAACCTTTCTGGATTTCGAGCTTTGCGGTCATTGACCACCTCGTCACTCTGTGGAAAAGGATATAAATTTTTTGCCGTTGATCATTTTCTGAAGGTGCCGAGCAAATTGATCTATCAGAGCCGACTATCAGATCTAAGCTAACACTCTTGATGCAAGGACCTCTCTATCCAGCTGCAATGGGCGAACTGCAATGCGCAACAAAACCTAGAGATCTGTGTATTGAAACTGAATTAAAATTTCACTTCTCTGCTTACAGGAGCAGCTCCAGCGGGTTTATATATATATATATATATATATATATTTTTAAAAATAGCCTTGTAATCCTCACGAAACGTCGAGAAGGGTATAAGAACAAACCCCCAAAGCCTTCAGTGTACGGCTTTCCCATAGATAAATCAATAATCGTTCCACCAGAAAGATTCCCTCCTTTGATTTGCCAAATTACCCTGCGAAGGAGAGCTGATTTTTCATCAACATGGATCAAACCTATCGCCCAGTTTTCCAATATCAATATTACGGTCCGTTTGCGCCACTCATCTGAGGCACTTCAACAAGAGACCCCCGATCCGACGAGCCGTCTGTAAAGATGTCTTGGAAGGCATCAGCAGCTACTAGATGTCAGCAACCTAATCTGTAATATTCCAATATTGAAGTAAATATCTGAATTGTATTTGCGATGTCCGGAGTTCTTTCGAAAGCCAAAAACCCTCTTCTACTAGCCCATCTCAGCGCAAGTTTTGGCTGACCGCGAACACGGACCGGTTATGGTTGTAAGAAAGACTCCAGGTATCGCTTTCGGGTGATCATAGGTCTACGAAAGGGGTCATACCAGCTTCGGCTACGAAATACAGCTCGAACACTCCTCCACCTTGCCTCATTTGGTGTCGCTTCTGGTAATTCTGGCAGAAGACGTAGGGACGGATGCCTCGGAGCCAGATTCGATGGCGACTACGGCGTTCTAGCCATTGCGGAGATTCGGACTCCCTTGTTACTAAAAAAAACTTCGTTAAACAGAACTATCTTTGCTCTCTGCAAACGCGTGTGAGAGCCTCAGAGGTACATGATCATATTGGGACCACGTGCTCTCCTGACACGGAGATGCAGGTCTTCGCTCATGGCAGCAGGAAGGACTCACCAAAAGTAGTCCAGACAGGACACCTTTTCAGCTCCCCAGACTTGACAGCAGCATGTAACCTAATGCCTCCACATTTCTCGTCTTGAAGGACAGTAAGGCTGTGTTCGAAGCCGTCGTCGACGATCGTGCTATTTCTCTGTCAAATTTCCCCTCGCTCGCGATCGCAGGTGATGGCGTACCCTTGGAACAGCTTCTTCTCACCCATGAGTACCACATCATCCGGAGTGACGCTGATGGTGAGCGGACAGCGTGACTTGAGAGCTGCGAAAGCCGAGTGGAAGAGCACCAGTTCTGCGAGGGAGTTAGCTCGGGTCGTGCTGAAAGTGTATTGAGACGGGGGATTTCTGATTGAGGTCAGAGGTGTATTCTGAACGTCGTCCAGGGCATCGGTAACAGTCAGCTGACAAGCCGGAAAGAGCTGCGTTTCGGGGCAGTCCGAGCACTGTAGACCACACTGTAGAACACACGATAATAGCTGCAGCCAGAAGCCCACGTACTCTCCCAAGTCTTGAAAAAAAGCGCCATCCACAGCTTCGGCGACATCTCATTCTGACTCCAGCGTCGAAACTGTAGCGCCGCACCCTTCCTCCTCACGCAAAGTTCATGTACGCCATAGCATGCAGTCAGTGGATTCATATATGGATCGAGCCATCTACATAGGATTCTGGTCATGTCTGGTGCTTCGGGATGGAGGTAGAGGGTTACAGATAGGCGGTTCTTGTCAAACGGTCTGCCTCGTCAGCTACACCATAGTATATTTATTGCCCATGGCCGGTCGATGTTGGCGGCTTACAACTTGAACAGCACACTTGATCCAGCTGAAATACCTAGCTTGATGTCGACCATAGGCGGACCAAAACACATCGACCTGTTGTAAGCCAATTAGTAATTCCATTTGCCAGACCAGCGACACATGATCAAAGAAGGTTGAAGGAGTTATGAACTCTTAAGCGAGACAGACTTACTCGCGCCTATGTCTCAGCCCGGTCGTCGAGAGTGGTTGGTCATCGAATATCTTCTCCGCCCAATGGCGCCGCTGTTTGCCCTGCTATGTGAGATTAAAGCCCATGCATATTAAATTAGGTGGAAGAGGTCTACCTCGAGATCCACTTCGGTGAGTTGAGTTAAGGCATGATGGGGGACGGCATAGACGTGCGGCGCTAAAATGACCAGAGGTATATGTGAGTGTGGTTGAAGTTGAAGGGTCCATGATACGGTCCCATCTGGTGTGGAGATCCAAATTCTCGCTTGGCTCAATCGCTAAGAAAGAAAGTTCCAGGTGCATACCTGGGATGCATTGCAACTGCCTCAAGCGCAGATGCCGTAAACGCAGCAATTCCAGAGTTGTTGGATCGTAGAGGGCTGACCTGACGGGTGACATGCATTAAGCATAACAATAGGAGGCGAATGAGGGGGGTCAAATTGATGTACGTACCGGCTTAGCAATCGCACGAGCTGTACGAGGAAATCGACATACATGACGAAGCGAGTGGGCAGTGTCATGCCTCCTTGATCCCCGAGACGCTCGCAGACAACGGCCCATTGCGTGTGAGCAGGAAATGCATCGTTGTCGATGTAGACCATCATGTTTTGGATGGTCTTGCAGAAAGAAGGGAGGACAATATTGAGATAGCTGGAGGGTCCAGGGTCAGTCATAAGTATGTGAATTGGGCTTTGGCTCCCTGAATGGTGATCGGAGAACATCTGTCGATGGAGGATGAGTAGTGCCGGACCGGACTCACTAGAGGATTATTGGGACCCTGGAACTGTATATCGGAAAGAGATCGTACAAGTCCCGTAGAAGCCTGCTTGCTGATTCGATTTCCCTCAAAACAGCCGTGATCTGCTCGAAGAACTCGAGGCCCAACGCGGCCCGGATCCTCAACAGTTGGACAGCAGCTTTATCCGCGCGCTTTGCTTCCTGCCAGCAGCCTTGGACCTCCTCCATGGGACGTACAGCGCAGACATCAAGTCAATGCGCCTCTGGAAGCCTCGACCGCGGCATATCGACCTTCGAATTCACTAACAGAGGGATGGAATGGGAAAAAGCAGGTCTGGCGATTAGAGCTCTGACTTGTAACGAGAAACGAGACCAAGGAGAGAGAGGCTCTGCAGTAGAGAGAGCATTGAGGAAGAGGACTGAGGAAGGGGACATGTGCAGACTGTGACGTGTCAGGGCTAGAGTGATTCTGCCAGTAGAAAGGATAGGGTAGACTTCTACCAAGAAATGAGAGAGGGTGCTTCCTCATGCGAACCAACGCATCTGCGTCCCTTCGAACCCCTCGCGCAAGGGCTAGAGAATCGGTGGAGCCACGAAGACAGAGCCATCCGATGCATCTTATAAACACAACGCAACAGGCGAATAGTGCGAAGCAAAGCTATCGACGTGGCTGACCTGAATTGCAGGATGTCATTTGGTGGGTTGCCGGTCAAAGTGATGGTCTCCTAGAGCAGCTGGTGATGCGCTGGTTGGTGGGTGTTCTGATAGACAGACTCGAGTACGGACGGGAACGCAGGTGTGATCCTGAAGGTAGGTAGATATGTTTCCCGAAGACAATAACAAGAGATCTAAAAGAGTCACAACGACCTTCCTTACCGTCGACAGATCAGCAGGTCATTGCGTGCATGAATGGCATTTTGAAGACCGCATAGCATCGGTACTCCAACCCGTATTCTCGAGGACCTGATCCTCAGCTCAGAGCCAGAACGGCCCTTGGTGGTGGTTGTGGTGGCGGCTTCGGTGGCACCAAGACAGACAGACACGCCTGCCGATGGATGGTGCATGGCAACGCGCGAGTTCCACAGGCCGAGATTCGCGGCTCTTGCAGCCAATCGGCATGCAGACCATCGAGCGTTGCATAATGTTCCCAAAAAAGTCGTGCTCGCGTAGAATGATACATTCCTGCCAAATGAGATGTGAGATGGTGGTGGTGATAACAAAACGGGCTGCCAAAACAAACAAACCTCGCGCGGTTTTCTTGACGCGTCGAGAGGCCTTCCGGCAGGGAAGGGCGGCAAGGCCGAGAGAGGGAGAGAGGAGATCACGTGGTAGGATTAGAACAACATTTGCAGTTGTCCTTGAGGGTCACGTGCAGATCACAATAGGCAGGCAATGGTAGAGTAGTAGCAGTCCGGGAGCGAGAGCTAGAATACAGAGATTCCATTTGATACGCGTCTTGAATTGCAGGGACAGATCCATGGTCACTGTCGGCATCCATCCAGATCATAAAAAGCGCATCAGTGATATCTTGGACTGGACCATCCACCGTTGATGGTCAAATCCCCCTCCCCCCCCCTCCCTCCCCTCCGTAAGATCATAGCAGCGTGCGTTTCCGTGGCAAATGAATCCACACCACGTTTCCCAAATCCAGTGCAGCAAGCAAGCAACACCCCAGCCCAAGGTAAGGAAAGAAGAAGACGAAAAGAGAAGGGAAGAGTCCTATGCACACGCGCCCGAAATCATGTCCCATGGAAGCCCGCGTTCGTAAAGTGTCCGTCAGGGAGATGCCGATCGAGTTTGTGTTACAAGGTGCACGAAGAGACGGGTAGAGAGCTTCCTAAGAAGACTCTTCCTCCTCTGCATCAGCCTGCTCGACCAACTTATTAGTACTTCGGCCGTACGCTTGCGAACGCCGACAGGCTATCCAGGGCTTACATTGTAGGATGCCTTCTCGTCCTCGTAACGCTTCTTGTCTTGCGCCGCCTTGGCCTCGTAGGGGGTCCGCTGCTTGTCGTTCAGGGCCTTCCATCGCTCACCGAGGACCTTGCCAACTTGACCTGTTGGGCGTGTCAGTAGGATTCGGAGCCAGAGAGTGAAGGCGCATACCGAAGGTGATTCCTGGGTTCTCCTCACGGACATTCTCACGCTGCTCGTTGGCGAAGAACATGTAGGCGGAGAGACCACGCTTGGGGGCGTTCGGGTCCTTCTTCTTCTTCTCGGTGCGGCCCTTGGGGGCTTTCTTGGCCTTTGCTTCCTGGGAGACGAGGCACAGTGGTCAGCGGCTATTCGACTTTTGTTTTCGCGATGGATACGATAGGGGAGGGAGGGAAGCTTACCTTGGGCATGTTGACGTTTAGTCGGAGGAGGTCTGAGTGCTAGTAATAGCGTTAGTGAGGCGCGCAAGAAGGTCACGTTTGACCCGGGGCCAAGCCAGTACAGAGTGGTAGTGGTAGTGGTGGTGGTAGTGGTAGTGGTGGTGGTAGTCAGTGGTAGTGGAAGTAGTGGTTCGGAGGTAGAGAAATCGCGAACGACGCGTTGATTTGATTGATATAGGTGGTGCGGTGTTTGTTTGGTAAGGCCAAGTGAGTTGATAGAAGAGGGCGAGGGTGAATAAGTGGATGCATATGCGTGACAAACGGATTTGAAGGCGACGAACGCGCAGATAAATGGAATGAATGCACTTACACTGATTTGGGAGATTTTTGTGTATTGGAGAGTTGAAGGGAAAGATTTGAGTATGGGTGGATGTCGCGCTGGGTTAGGTGAGTTAGTTAGGAGTAGCTGGAGTTTTGGTGGTGGATCAACAAAACACAAGTCGGATCGCGATGGACGCGACGGCGAGGTGAGAAGAGGCTTGCAAGCGAATGAATGCGGTCGAGAGGAACTGAGGGGGGGGGGGTTGGTTGGTAGGTGGGTGGTAGAGGTGGAGGAAATCCAACCAATCAGGCGGAGCGAGGGATTAAACGACAGATAGTAGGCGGGACTGGGACTTGCGAGCGTACTTTACGTACCTAGAGAGACGAGACGGGTTTTTTGGTGAGAGAGAGGATCTGGGTGAGGGAAGAAGAGTATGGGTGTGAGGGCGGGTGTGGGTGTGGGTGTGGGTGTGGGTGTGGGTGAGAGAGTAGGAGAGTGTGAGTGTGTGTGTGTGAGTGGGAGCCCTTCATATGAGGTGGCTGGCTTGGACCCCATCAGGTGAGCTGCGCTGCGCTGCGCTGCGCTGCTGGGCTGGGGGCTGGGCTGGGCTGCGAGGCACGTGCACTCGGGGCTAGCCAGATGTCTCTTGCCCTTTCCCCTTCCCCCTTCC